CTTGGCGCGAGTTCGCCGAGTTGCCGACACCCTATTCAACACACGTCTTGCGACAAGCTACCCCCAGTTCGGATCATCCTAACAGCGTTGTGGTGGTGATCGTAATAGCCAGGAGCATCAAGCGGCTGAAGGGTTGGTTACCGTATATGACACAAGATAACACACCCCCTTGGCCGATTTTCAAAGCTCAATTTCTCAACAGCAGGAAGAGTCACAGCGCCGAAAACGGCGGCGTTGGAACCGTCTCGTCGAGAGCTGTTCGAAAACGTATTGTTTCGTTTATGCATCCTCTTCGTCGTGGAGTAATCGAGCTTTGAAAATCGGTCCAGGGGGTGTGTTATCTTGTGTCATATACGGTAGGTAGAAACTACTACCGTGATTCGGAGCTTGGCGTGCGTGATTGAGGTGGTGGTGGTTGTGGTCGTGTTTTTTTTCTCCGTGTTGTTTTTTGTCGAAACAAGCCGAAATTATAGCCTTGGATCTGTTCAGAGGGATGTGTGTGTGTGACTTTGCATAAATCCGTGTTGGTGTTGCTGGGATTAGCGCGCCAACGTGACGGGGGGGGAAGGCTTCGCAAGGGTGTCTGTCTGTGATATCGTGCTTTGAGGAGATGGCTACAGCGAGAGGGGACCCAGCGAAGCACCGGGCGCTTTGTGTGCGCGCGTATATTTTGTGTTACGCCAAAGGTTGTAGGATAAGAGAATCAACCACAACGGTCAAGATTGGACGAAGCTGAGCGAGCATGTCCGTGACCTCTGCCAATACGCGCACCTGAGCGAAAAATCGGCGAAGAAAGAAACACAGGCAACGGTCGCCACCCATTGGCTGCCAGTGGATTTGTTGAACGGGTGTACCGTAGGACGCGGAGAGAAAGGTACCCTTCCGAGACAGACTTCCGAACTCGATTGCTCCACAGCCAAGGGCGTGCGGAACGAGCCACAGACATGTCCACGGAAAGCCCTTCTTCACGAGAGATATTTTCAAAACCACCATTTTTGGTGTTGGAACAAAAACAATCTTGGTTGTGGACCTATTTTGAGCTTTGACAATCGGTCTGTAGTAGGGGTGCCATATTTATTTGTCCGCTTCTACGGTATTCTACAGATATATATGTCGCCGCTTCTGCTGTGAAAATCCTAATCCTTGGAACCGAGAGCGGCAGTCCCAGAACATATGTATGTGGGTTGATTGAAGCGAACTCACTCTCGGTAGGTCTGCTGCAGGAAGCGCGCATACATACCTACCTGTGCCTCGCTGCAGCGGCTTCGTCGAAAGTGAGTGCGAGTGGGACGCAATCCATCGGGCCGTTCACGCACTCGGCATCTCGTGCCCTTCCGTCATTCCTACTGCTGCTGCTGCGTTCGGTGCACCCTCATCATACAACCCCGCTTCTGAAATGAAATTGTTCCGAAAATAAAGTTAGTTGTGGTGCAGATTTGGGTTGGAAAGAAAAATAAGTTGGTGAGCATCTTCGGCACTTCAGGAGAAGAAGTCGTCTACGCAGCGAGGGTTCGTAAATAGTACACAAAACGCACACAGTAGTGAAACGGAAGCCGGGTGATGTGAATCTGTACCAAGTGATCTCTAAAGCTCGTTACACCGTGCAACACAACGACCTCATCATCTATCTGCTATCGGGATGCCAAATCTTGTCCCGTCCTCATGTGTGATGAGCTCCGCAGACATACAGGACGAGCGTGTATGGGCCACCTGCGCCTACTGCCTAGTGAGGCCGGGGCCCCGAATAAATGGACGTATGCAAAATCTAACAACAGTTTGGACAACTTCGGGTATCGCAGGAATATATTGACACCATCGGCATCTACAGCCAACTATCAAAGGTCGCAGAAGGGTACGGGAACGGCCTGCTGCGTGTATATTCATGCGTTGTGGATCCATATTCTTCAATAAAACGGCCGGGATGCTGGTCTCAAGTTCTAAAAGGATACCACGGGTAGACAACAAGTGAATTATATGGGAGGAGGATGGCAAGAAGGACGTTTTGTTGGGCATGGCGACCTCCACACACAGCATGAAATGCTGATGATGCCCGGAGCCATGAACGCCAGCAGCCTGCTGCCGAGGGGGGCGGCCACACATTTTCAACCGAGAACATCATTCATTCTTTGTTGTGACAGATACATAGTCTGCTGCTGTGGATACCAGATAGATGCAGCGCCCTACTACCGCCCCGGCGCACTACTCTCGCCTCTGACCCTGATGTGTGCGTCCGATGTGCCCTACCTAAGCCACCGAGTGATCACAAGAAAGAGTTCTGGGGAAGAGACTCGTCCCGACCACTACAGTCACACCATACCTAGCCAGCTGGTTGAATCCTCCCATGGGGTGTGAAATAGAAAAAACCCGAGACCGACCGGCAAAGAAAGGTAGCGCTACAAATATGACATGTTGTTAATGGCGTTGTTCCTCAAGAAGTCCGCCCTCAATGACAAAGGCTACACCCAACAAAATTCGCTTTGGGGCGATGCGCGCTTAATATTGTCCAATCTACATGGATGGATGGATGGATGGTGGGTCTCGGTTTAGCGACCCCCCGTTTGGCAACGTTCCCTGTTTACCGACCACAAAATCACGTCGCACGGCGGCACCCCGTATTGTCTAGCTGCTATCTAATATATCGTCTGCCCTATAGTTGGCAGTTACAGTACATTTTTTTGCGACCTGCCCTGAATACGGAGTTCGCATGTATGTATGCACAGACCAACTTTGCGCAGACCAAAATAATAAAATAATAGGGTGTGATCTGGGTATCAAGGTTGTGTGTATATGCGTACTTTTCAAATACCCCGACCACACCACAAAGAACACGAAGCGAAAGGCGAAAGAATGGGACGACTCTTTCTGCCCTTCCTTTTACGAGCCACGACGTGTATGATGATACATGATGATACATACAACAAACAATACATACATTTAGTCTATATACCCGGCATACGCGCACACCAGGTATTATTATGTGTATAGACTATTTACATACTATGTAAATAGTCTAGTATTGCAGTTTGGGCGCGCGCGGAAAATCGTATGTAGAGGGAGGAAGGTTTTGGTCAGCAACGAACCGCCCCCGGAACCTGAATCCAAGACAACTAGTCTTTTAGATACGATGGTACATGTTATGTACAACGAACAGCTGTACATATGTACATACATACAGCATACAGCAGCAGCAGTAAACTTTTGGTGTGATGAAACCAACGCGAAAAAACTTCCGTGTGTTGCAGTTTGTTTGGTTCGTGTGAACGTTCATGGAGAGTGTGGTCTTTGAGTGGTCTCCCCGTCTAAACCGTAACCCTCGAAGAATACTTGTACTCGATTCAGTTGGCGCGGGGCAGGGTGTCCGCAGCCAGCCATTCTTTGCCTTTTGGTGTAGCAGCAGTGGCAGTTCAGCGGCAGCAGCAGGCGAAACTGCCACCTCAGGATATGCAAACGGCAAAAAACGCTTTTCCCCCCCTGTGGCCCTCTGGTCATTTCTCATATCTTCACACCACCTACCTTACACCACCTACCTTCCGCATCCGAGGATCCAGATTGCGAGAGGCCGCGCTGCGAGAACGTATATAGGGACAGACAGCGGATAGCGGCGTTACGGCGTTCGACGGGAGGTTTTCTTGGTTGGTTGAAACCCGCGAGAACCAAAAAAAAAAAAAGGGAAACAAAGTTTTCCTGCTGCTGTGTCCACAGCAGCAGCGGGATCATCACGCACCCATCATTATCTTCGTCCTTCTATTCGCTGTGCACACACCTTCGCAGCCACGATGGCCTTGACGATCGATCTTGAGGCAGGCCTGCGACCACCGCCACCGCCCGAACGAGGTACCCCGGACGGCCGCTTCGTGTTCAAGGAGCTGCTTGGCCAGGGCGCGGAGGGTTTGGTGTACCTCGCGATCCCAACCCGTCGAAAACTACAACAACAACAACAACAGCAGCCGCAGCAGCATCACCACCACCAGCAGCAGCAGGGTCTCGAGAGCAGAGTTAGACAACAGCGACCATCAGCCATCAAGGTAGTGAGCGGCGGGTGGGCGTACGAGCGCTGCCGCGCGAGTCGGGGGCTGTGGTCCAAGCTGGTGCACCCGAACGTTGTCTTCCCCCGGGAGTCCTGGTGGGACGATGCCAACAGCCGGTGCTTCGTCCAGATGGAGCTGTGCGAAACAGACATGTTGGATCTCGTGTGCGAGACGGGCGCTCTGGGGGACGCGCGGGGCTCGACGTTCGCCGGGCACCTAGCGTCCGCGCTAGCCCACCTCCACGGGCAGGGTATCGTGCACCAGGACGTGAAGCTCGAGAATATCTTCGTGTCAAGGGAAGGGGTCGCGAAGCTAGGTGACGTCGGGAGCGTTGTGCGTATCGCGCCAAGCCCGATTCAGCACGAGGAGGAGGAGGAGGAGGCGGGCAGCCGCACCAAGAAGAGCGGGCGCGGGAACAGCATCAGGGGGAATGGTGATCTTTATGTCGACGCCCCGATCACATCTTCTTCTTTTGTGGGATCCGTCATGTACGCTCCGCCGGAGGCCATGCGCCGAAGCACCGGCCGCGGC